TATATTATATGCTTTCAAAAACTGTTTTCTAAAAACTATATATATTATATGTTTTTCAAAAATACTTTCAAAAACTATACTATATTATTATATACTAAATAAGCTTCGGACAAAAATGAGTAACTACAGATTGGAAAATTAATAATGAAAACTTAATAATGCTAGTGATTTTTATAATTTTTTTGATATAATCACTGGTATTTAATTTATTAATTGATTAATTCAAATCGTATTTATTTTTTAGTATTTAATTTTTAAATAGTTTATATTTGGTAAAAAAGCACCCATGGTACCTGAACTTTAAAAAAAAACTAATATGGCCCTCATCCTATTTTTTGGATTAATGTGACCCTACTCTTTGAACAATGTTTTCCGTCATTGACCAACAATTCCGTTAATTCTTGTTGTTATAAATTGTGTAAATTACACCATTCATCACTCAACTATTTTTCTCTTCTATTTTGGTCACTAAACTCTAAAAGTTTTCAATTTCAGAAATTTTAGAGACTTCAGAGACTAAAGATATAATTAACCTATTTTATTTTAAGGGTAACTACACAAATATTCACTTATGTTTCAAGGATAAATTACTAACGAAACAGGCGACACTAAAATCAATTCACAGAAAAGGGAGCAACGAACTGAAACGTCAAAGCTCCATCATTCTTCTGGAAACAAGAGTTTTTATTTCCATCTAATTAAGAATCATGAACAATAAAGAACCCAGGAAATCAAATAAGCAAACTTGAGCCCAGATCTTACAATCTCAATTTTTATTAAAAAAATTCAAAAAATTTTCGAGGAAATCAATTCCTAATCTTGAAAAACATGACTAACCCAAATGAAACTGATGACCGCATTGAAGCTTAGCCCACGCCTGATCTCCGTTATCAGCAACCGTTTCGAGGCAAATCGAGCAAGAAACCGAACCGAGAGACTCTCCTCCATCGCCGCCACCAGCACCACCACCACCACCTTCGTCCACCACAACATCGGTCCCACAAATACCCCATGATCCCATAATTTTAAAACAGTTGTAAACTTAAAAAACTTCAAATCAACTCACCCAGCCAAAATCTCAAAACATAAATTTTACTAAAATAAAATTCACCCATCCCTATTTATAGAATATTATTAGCTAATTTAAACATTCTTAATTATTTTACCTAAAACTACCTTGAGGATTCTTCCCGTAAAACAACCATTCTAATTTATCATGTTACATGATTTTTTTCTTTGATTGGAGTGTTTTTAAGTCAAATCCAAGTAACATTTTAACTCGGATAGTTATTAGTAGTACCATTCTAATTATTTTAACTATCTTTGTACTTCTTTTATAAAGCCTCTCTTCGTACATTAAGATTTTCAGAAAACTCCTCTTCAATTGAGATCTTAGGAAAAACACCTTTAGACGTGGCTCTTTTGAAGTTTGCACATTGAAGGAGGCCACAACCTCTTAACGTGATCTTTAACGGAACATAGATATATAAAAGTCGAAATTAATTGATATCTGATTACATCAATCAGCTTGTAATTTTTAAGTAATCATACTTATCGTACGTCTGACATCAACATTAAGGATCAATATAAAATATCTCGGTCAATATTGAGAAATGGATCTGAAAGCATTCTATTAACTTTCCAATTCTCTAACTCTTTCTAGAGACAAATGATTCAAACATTGATTGTCGTTCAACCAAGGGTGAAACTAAAAATTTATTATAGCGGGTTAAAATATTTTTTTATTATCCAAAAATACATTTCTTAATGGAGGGGCCTGGTAATTTTTTCTCTATTTATTTTTTAAAAATATTTATATTTTTAATATTAATTAATACTTGCAGAAATAATTGGCGGGGGCTAAGGCTTCCCTTGCCCCCATGAAGTTCCGCCTATGAGTTCAACCAATTATTGTTATTCTCTGTCCAAAGCAAAATGAATGAACGACCAATAATTGAACAATATCAAATTAAAATACATGGGATAAAATTCAAATGTAAATATAATAAAGGGATCAAAATCAAAATTTTCAAATGAAAAATATACAAATTTAATTTTATAAAAATTATGCATACATTGTTTCCATTTACTGCTCAATCTGATCTTCGATTTCACAGGAAATGGGTGCCGAAAGAGGTGGAATTTCAAGTCCCATAAACTACGAAATGTGTACTCAATCAACAATAAACATCGTCCATATCATCTGGGTTATGACTTGGTTGGTAATGTGTATTATGACTTTGCTGGGGCACAAATACTGAGAAAAACATTTATACTATCATGGGTGAAAGATCTTTAATTCAAACCATTGAGTTGAGTTCATATCTGCTTGTGTTTCATAATCAATGTTCAAGTTACTTCAAAATTTTTAGTATAAATGCAAAATAACATAGTTAGTATTAATTATCGCATGTAATAATAATAATAATAGAATAAAATATGATATATTTATCGTATCGTTATAGACGTACTTTCTCAAAAAATAATTTCATTTGGATTAATATGATCACGATAAATTATCTTTTAAGATTAAACATAATCTTTCAAAAGTCATACACCCGAAGTGAGAAAGTGATATCCAATCAGTATTGCTTACTTCAAAAAATTCCAGAAATGAAATAAAGAATATGAAATTATAGTATTTTTTTGGTGTATTAAATAATGAAAAGGAGTTTAATATTTAACCTAAAATAAAAAAGTATCTAAATTATACCTATTTTCTTAACTAGGTGTCTTGATTTTTTGGCTAATTTAGGTGTCTAACATTACAAATGTTAACATTTAGGTGCCTACGATATAATGACCATTAAAAATTTATTAAAAACCAGCCAACCAATCAGTATTTGGCATGTGACTTATTTTTAATTTCCTTTAAATTTTAAAAAATAAAATTTAAAAATTTAAAAGAAAAATAACTTTTCTTATTTTTCATATAATACCCCAAGATCTTCAATTCACCTGCCGACCACTACAACCAGAGGTGATCTTCCACTCACCTGTTGGTATAACAGTTTCGGACCATTCACCCATAGATTAGGATGGATGCTTTGTGATTAAGGATTTTGAGACTTTTTTGATATTTTAAAAATATTTTGTGATTTTTTTTTGAAAAATAATAACAACTTAAATTTTTTAAAAAATAAATGTTTAAAAAATTATAAAGGCACCATGTGTCGCATCCTTAGCGATTGATGAAATTTTTTAACGTTTGTTACGGTCACGGCAACTAAAAGATAACATTGATAATATTAGACACCTAAATTGATCAAAAAATTTTAAGCACATAAATAAAAAAAGAGATGATTTATACATTTTTATATTAACCCTAATATTTATAAGGATAAAAAAAAAAGATGAACATTAACCGCCCTCTAATATCTACCTATATAAAAACAAAATTTTATCTAAAATATCATAAGATTTTTTTTTCTTTTATTTTGACTATTCAATAAAATCAAATATCAAATCTACTGATAAAATATAATTTTTAAATAATTGAGGTAATTATAAGATTCTATTTAGAATTTTCTTAAGTAATTGACAATGCATATATACCAGTAAACGTTGCTATAAAGGCTTTTAGAGATATCAATATATTTTCATCACTGGTACTTTTCTTAAAAGAACATACCTTTAAAATATATATTATGAAATAACTTGAGCATAATTACGCGGCAAGAACATAATAAAATATACAAATTCGCATGTCTGCTCTACCCACTTTAAAATTACATCTTTGGAAAGCATATTTAACGTTATTTGAATTGCTTTCTTTAAGCTTCTTTCCTTAAATTACAAGACAAAATCGAGGGATAAATCAAAAGTAGTGGAGTAGTTGTTTTTATAGAATATGCTTTGGCAACAACAAATATGGGACCAATTACTTTCTTTAACTTTAAACACACTAAAATTATACAACTAAGAACAATACTAAAACAAAGATATACAGTAAATGCCAAAGATGGTTTTGGTTCTCTATTATATTTAAATTTGATATTTAATGTTTATAATATCATCATTGGTTAATTCAAATAGTTAACATTCTTAATTGTTTTAATTAAAATACTAGTTATGTTACATGATTTCTTTTGTTTCTTTTTGTGATGGAGTGTTTTTAAGATAAATCCAAGCTGGCATTTTAACCTAAATAATTATTAGCAGTACTATATAGATTAACTGGCGATATTATAAAACTAGAGTGATAAAATTATTGGTGTACCATCTTCATATCTCTTCCGTAAAATTTTACTCCATACATCTTTAGACAATTCTTTTTTAATTGAGATTCTAGGAATACATATTCGGAGTAAACTACAATCTCTAACTGGTCTATGTAATATGTCAGAGTTGAAATCAATTGAGAGATGATTATCAATATGTTGTAATCTATAAGTAATCATAATTACTCTATACCTAATATCAAAACTAAGGATCACTATAAAAACCTCTCGGTTAAGATTGGGAGATAGATCTGAAATCATTTTATTAACTCTTCAATCCTCTACCTCCTATGGAGACAGAGGATTCAAACATTTATAACCATTGTTAACCGCTTATTACGACTCTACGACCAAATCAAAAGGAGCGAACAATTGGTCAATATTAAATTAAAATTTATAGGATAAAATTTAAATTTAAATGTAATAAAGGGACCATATTCAGAATTTTCAAACAAAAAATGTAAAAATTTAATTTTATAAAATAAAAAACAAGTATTAAAATTTAACTGTTAAAATAATAGTGAGACTCTGACATGTTCAGAACAAAATTTTAAATTATATTCGTTAAATTGAAAATAATTTGTGAAGTTCATTCAAGCTTTGACAAGTGTGATTGGTTGGTTGATTAATGAATGGAAATTATTAATTTTGATCGACTTTTAACAGTTGACGCGGTTTGTGGGATCTGAGAGTGCACCAAAAACCGCGTAATCTCTCTCTCCATTTTGTTCCATTCAACAATAAGGGATCATTGTTGCCCTCAGATAACATGTGGTAATTACAAAGAAAACAAAAACAAACAAGCCAACAAACCACCTCTTTTCATCTTCTTCCTCCCCTCTTGGTTTTTCTTCATTGATTCATCAACATTAGCTATGGTGACAACCTTACTTTTGCTTGCTCTTCTTTTCATCGTCGGTTACCTTAACATTTACTTTGCTTTTACTCCCAATAAATTTTATGTTTGGCTTCAATCCAACACCTGTTCTTCATCATCTTGTGTAAATTCAAAAACAACCCAGACAGTATCGATTATGGAACGGAGTGATCCCAAGAAACTAGAGCTGAAAAGGGTATTCGCCACCTTCGACAAAAACGGCGACGGATTCATAACGAAGCAAGAGCTAAGAGAATCATTGATGGCCATCAACTTTTTTTTAACGGAGAAAGAGGTGGAAGAAATAGTGATGAACCTCGATTCAAACGGGGACGGGTTGATCGATTTCGACGAGTTTTGGGCCCTGTGTATAGCCATCGACGACGGTGATTTCGGAAATAACGGCGGCGAGGAAAGTAAAAGACCGGGGGAAGAAGGGAATGCATACGAAGGTGAAATGTTAAAAGAAGCTTTCGATGTGTTCGATAGAGACAAAGATGGGTTGATCACCGTCGAGGAATTGGGATCGGTGTTGAGTTCTTTGGGGTTGAAAGAAGGACACCAGGTCGAAGATTGCAGAGAGATGATTCGAAAAGTTGATGTCAATGGTGATGGGATGGTCGATTTCGATGAATTCAGGACGATGATGAAAAATGGCGGACGATTAGCTTCCATAGCAGCTTTTTGATCTGAAATCTGATCGATCCATCGATCTACAGGTGTTTTATTTTCAATCTATATGTTGGATTTGTTTCTTTCTAATTGCCATTTTCAAACTTCTTCATTTTTCAATCATTATTGTAACCTTTACAACACAACACTAAACAATGAAATTGAATTCAACTTCATTTTGGAATTGTATTTTGATGTTCTCTACATGTATATTTTCAACTTTATTGTGTACCCATCCGTTTTGTATTTGTAAAGCCCACCAAGCATGTATGAGGTTTGAAGTTGATGAAGTTTGTTTAATTATTTTAGTGTAAATTGTGAACTCGTCGATCGACCTTAAATATATATTCCTATTTATTTTTCGTTTTTGGACGTAAATTATTTTGACGGGCCCTGTAATTGAGTAAAATTTAGTTGTAAGAAATTTACCCTCCTTTTTTTTAGAATGCGAAGATTGAGTTTTATATTTGAAGTTTTAGTTGAATCTGAACTAAAAGCTTCATTTATTTTTGCTTATTTGCCTAATGAAAGATATCCTCTATTCTAATTCAAACTTGATTGTTACTTTTAAATTGAAAAAAAATAATACTTAATTAAAAATAAAAATACATGATACGATAATTAACTCGATTGGAGTCATAGACTATTAAATTAAAATGAAAATACTTGAATTCAGTTTTACTATACCCGTAAAAAGCAAGTTACATCTAAAAAGTGGCTTGTCACATGGCGTGGCTCCACCAATGCTAACAGGTAAGTGAAGAGCTTGTCACATGGCGTAAGAGATATCTTTCACGTGTCAGCATGTTGGCAAGGACGGACCCTAGAATAAGGGCCAACAAAATGATGCTTTCACGGGCTTGTAAAGTCGGAATAATCGGATCAGCCAATCACCAAGCACCGAATACCAGCTTACTCTCAACATCTCCACATTCTCATAACTTTATTTCCTGTCTCCCTCCATTACTAGGCGCATGTGTTGACTTAACTATTAGTGACCAGGGATGTGAAGTCAGGTAAATTATTCATGTTTCAGCTGGGGTTTTGTCAGGTCAAGTATAGGATCGAATTGACTCAGTTTATTTAATTTCCAGCTGGATCAATATCAATTCAAGTCAAAATTGTTTTGGTATGAATCAATTAAATATTATGTTAATTCATGTTTAGATGAACTTTAAGTCGTATCATCTTGGGTGAATTATTTTTCACCTTTCAAGAACATCTAATTGTAATTCGTAATTATATAAGGTTTGGAGTAAATTACAAAAAGAAGAAGAAGAAATAATTATGATATTAGGGTTAATTCAATTTTGGATGAACTTTAGGTCGGATCATTTTGGGTGAATTATTTTTCACCTTTCACGAACATCTAATTGTAATTTGTAATTGTATAGGGTTTGGAGTAAATTATAAAAAAAAGAAAAGAAATAATTAGGAGCTTGTAACACCCTAAACTCGATTGAGCCTAAAATGTCACATTGGGCGAATGAGGCAACCACTAAAACTTAAAACCCTTTTTTATTTCCATTTAAAAACCATGAATTCATTAAAAAACATTCACAACCGTTGTAAAATACTTCTACAAACCAAAACTCTGTGACACATAGCTTAAACCAAAATAATATAATCTCAGGATTTACAAATCTAAATACAATAATAAGGGTCTTATGAATACACATGTCTACTATAAGTAACCATACAATACTCTATAAGGAATGTTGGACATCCTGCTGCGACGATGCTTCTCTAACGACTCAATATTCTAACTTGCTATCAAAAACATCTGAACGTCTGAGCTTACAAAGCCTAGTAGTATAATTGTTAATCTAGACTAGTATATGAATCTCATAAACATGAGCATGCTAGAAGACATGGTAATAAGCAATAGGTACATGCATGATCATAATCAAGTGTTACATACTTAAGGTTCAATTGTTCTATAATTATAGTAAGAGTCTCACGCTTCCCTTAGTCATTTTCTAAGGGCCTTGCCATGAATATACATATATGGGTCTCTAACTATAATGTTGAACTATTGTGCATTCTCTAAATGCAACACACAATAAACTACTAGTACAGATCTCACACATTCGTCAGATACTAGTCATAAAAGGGTGGAACCTGATGTCACATAAGCCTCAGTAAAATTCTCACCACTACTAAATGATCTAGTAGATCTCACAAAGCCTTCGGGTAAATCATAGAGGGGAACCCAGTCAAACATAAGCCTTGGTACAATTCCACCCAATTATAACATCGGCTCAGTCTCACACAGTCGTCATGTCTATAGAAACCTATTTTCGTCCGGGGATTTATTTTGAATTTTGATCTTATTCTATTATTTTAATATTAAGTAATATAATTTTAAAATATATATTTTATATATTTTGAAAATATATAATTTTTGAATATATATATATATAATATATTATATAGTATATATGTTATAGTATTTTAATATATATATAATTTTTAGAATATATATATATATATATATATATATATATATTATAGTAGGTATATTATATATGTTATTCATATTATTGTTTTGATTTTTAAGGTTACATCCAAGTTAAGTTAGAGTCCAATTCCGGTCCAAAATAATCAAGTCAAAGTCCAATTTGTTAAGCCCCAAAATCCAAGTCCATGGTCCATAACCGAGAAGCCCACTCATATAGCCTAGTGAGCAAGCCACCCAGGTTCAGCAAAAGTCCAACAAGCTGCCATGTCTGATTCATATTGCCTCCAAAGTTCAAAGTTCCATACTTTGAAAAGTTTGATGGAAACAACTATCAATCAACCAATTTAATCATGTTCAACTGAAAAATGAAGGGACATATGAGAAACGACTAACTCATGATTCACTACTTTCATGAAAGCTTATTGAGTTAAACTATCCGTTGCTACAACCAACTAAGTAGGAATCATATTAGGACTTTGAAGGATCTTTCTAATTCCTTTTTGGAATAGTTCAAACATGTGAACGGGATGAGGTTGAATTGTGTAATGTTGCAGGGTTGGAGAAGAAGCCCGACGGAGCATTAGACAGTATGAGAAGTGAAATGATGTAGTCGTGCAATACTTCATTAGATGAGAAAGAAACCAGAAAAATCTTTGTACATACCCTCAAAGCTCCTTTTTTTTCAGACACTTGGTTGCGATCACCTCCTAGAGCTTTGTTGATATAGTAATGGCCAGAGAAATTGTGGAAATAGCCATTATACAAGGGAAAATTGGAGGGAGCTAGTTGATGCTTCGAATAATGTAACAACAAATAGTGTAAGCATACACTATCGTTTATCAAGTAGTAAAAGCGGATGCAACTAATGCCTTGAGTATCATATCCACAAAGATTAGTATTATTGTAACACCCTAGACACGATTAGGCCTAAAGTGCCATATTGGGCTACCGAGGCAACCCTTTATTTTCAAAACATGTTCATTTTCCTTTCAAACATACTGAATGGTATCATAATTAAAACATAAATAATTGTTATAAAAACAATTTATAAAACCGAAGCTACGTGACACATAAGCTAAAACCAAAATAACACAAACTCTGAGTTTAATAAACTGAATACATAGTAAGGTTCTATGAATACATATGCCCACTAAGATACGATATAGTACTCCATAGGAGATGCTGGAAGACCTATTGCAACGGTGCTCCACGATCTACTGTCTTGCCAACAAACATCTGAAGGCTGAGCTTACAAAGCCCAACAATATAATCGCTAATCTAGAGTAATATAAAAATTTCATAAACATAACCATGCTAGAGATATGGTGCTTAACAGTAAACACATGCATTATCTTGATCAAGTACTACATACGTAAGGCGTTACTATTTTATTACTAAAGTAGGGGTTTCATACTTCCTTAAATCCTCTACTAAAGGCTTAACCATGATTACACCTCTAAAGGGTCTCTAACCCTACTAAATGAACTGCTATGCACTATTTAAGCTCGACACTGATACTCTTGTGAATTATTTAAATGCAACAGTGGCTCTGCTATGATAATATCTAGTATCACACAACATCAAATACTAGCATGCTAAAAGGAGGTACCAGTATCACATATCATCGGTAAGGTCCCTCTAAGCTACTGTATGATCTCTTGGTATCACATATCATTAGGTAGAACATGGAGAAGGAATTTCGGTATCACATAGCATCAGAAGTTCCCACTCAAGTGAAGTGTTGGCTTGGTATCACATAGCCTCAAGCCAAACTTTTTTGATAAATACAATGCTGGACTAATGCAACTATACATGCATATCTAAGGCCCAAAGGCTATACAACATTGCCACCGCTAACCCACTCCTCGCGAGTGTTCGGGCCATGTGCCCTAGTTAGCTTTTGAACTGCCTCACGCACTGACAATGTCTTGCTAGGGCAACTAAGGTAGTTTGACCACACTCTAGCATAGCTATACACACTAAAATGGGGCCATCCTCTCACTAGCTGTTATCTCACTCGTTTTCTAATCTAGAACGTTATGCTTGTGTTTATTATTCTATATTCGTTATTAGTGATAACTCCATCAAAAGACTATATTTTAGGTCTTTTTACTTAAGTTATTGATTGTCTAAAAGCCATTGACATAGAATTTGAGCTACATATAGCTGAATTTAGGACATATTTTCATGTGATGGATACGTTTTGCGGAGGTAAAGTCTATTTGATTAAACTGATGGTGCTGATGAGAAAGGTTGTTTGTTGATTATGATGATGCAGGAAATTTTTGAGGAAAAATTATTTGTTGAAACAAATTAATTTGATAGGGCCAATGGAACACAGAAGATGAAGATGGTGAGAACAGATTTTCCTTGCTAAGGTAAGATTTATCTTGCAAGTCTAACGCAGATCTGACGAACTGCTGATGTCACATGGCCAGCTGTCCAATCTACCTCACATGCAATCAAGCCCCTAAGATTCTACAATAGCCAGCCTTCTTTCCATTTATAGCTTGGACAAGAAAACATGGGTATTTAGGGAATATTTAATGATGTGAAACCCTAGGAAAATTCCCTTAATAAATACTCAGTCACAGCCGCCAAAAAGAGGAGGCAAGGGGAGAATCATATAGAGAAAATACCCTAGGTTTGGAAAAAGGCGATCACGACGTCCTTTCTTTCCACCGTCCCCACTCGTCCATCCTTGGTGCCCTCCATAGCCAGTCTTTACTGGGGTGGCGGCTAGGTCATTGAGAGAGGCTGGTGTGCTGGAGCAGTCATGGTGGTGGTCTGATGTCA